GCACAAGTGGAAAGATATACTGTGCCTATGGATTGGAAGAATTAATATTGCTAAATATCCATACTACACAAAGCAATCTACTAGTTCATTGTAATTCCCATCAGAATACCAGTGGCATTTTTCACAGAACTAGAACAAAGAATCCTAAAATATTTATGGAATCACAAAAGACCCCAAATAGCCAAGGCAATCTTGAGAAGGAAGAACAAAGCTGGAGGTATCACACTTGCTGATTTCAAACTATACTACAAAACTATAGCAATCAAAAGAGTATAGTACTGGCATGAAAATAGACACATAGATCAATAGAGTACAGAGACCAGAAATAAGTCCATGCGTAAATGGTCAATTGATCTATGACAAAGGTGGCAAAAATATACAATAGGGAAAAGACAGTCTCTTTATTTAATAAATGGTGCTGGGGAAACTGAACAGCTACATGTAAAAGAATGAAGAATTTGGGAAATCAGGAAATGCAGGGGCAGGAAGAAGCTACAGCTGATGATTTGCCCCTAGTGGGTGAGGAGGCTGCCTGGAAGTTACTCCCCAAATCTTATGTCTACTGTCTGTGAAAAGGCATGCCCCGGTGGCAGCTGCCAACAGGGAATTGGTTTATTTCTCTCTTTTACCTTCTAAATTCCACACGAAAACTTCTCCTTGACAGGATATGAACCAGAATTCCTGCCAGCAGAAGAGATTTGAAATGTAGTTTCCTGATCTCTAGCCCCACCTAGACAGTATCTAAAAGTAGTGATTATTTTGATTACCGAGCAGTATCCGGCTGAGGGTGTAAGAATCTGTCCAGCCCAGCACCCTCTTGATGGTCTACAATAACCTTCTCCAATGGCACTGTCTGCAACGGTGAAAACGGTCTCTTTGCCAGGTCCGGTATGGTAACCCAAAGCACCCTGTGGCTGTCAGGCACTTGAAATGTGGCCCGAGCAATTGAAGAAATGAATCTTTAGCCTAATTTTAGTAAACTTAAGTTTGCTGCAGGGAGCCCATGGCTCCTGCTTTGGGCAGTGCAGATCTAAACTCTCTTTGGTCCTGTGCCTCCTCTCCCATTCCTTTAAATGGAAGACACTGCCTGATCTGCCCCGAAGTGTCCTGAACTTGCCAGTTGAATATTTGTTGTATTTATGGTATGTTGAATGCGCTTGTTAAAATGACTGTGTGATGGATTTGGGGAGGAGGGTTTTTACTGAGTTTACAGAATTGATCATCTGACTGCTTTTTGGCCAGCTGACTAATAAACATCGCTGTATATTTCCCTGAATTTAGTCTAAGACTTACTTTCTCCAAAGAGTACAACAGCAGAAAGGTAGTGAGAGGCCACCGGTATTTACCTGTGGAACCTAAAATTGCAACAGCCAATTAGACTGATCAGTTTGCAACATATATTCTTCTCCCGGAAATGTTTCTCAGACCTTTATAATCTGCAGTACTCTAGCAAACATTAGCAGAGGACAAAACAAAGGCTGTAAAAATGTTAATACAAAAATCCAGATAAGCTAGTTGCCCTCCCCTAACACTTTTTTTTTTTTTAATGTGAGCTATGTCTATGGTACTTTTTAAAAATAATCATACACGGGATCCCTGGGTGGCGCAGCGGTTTAGCGCCTGCCTTTGGCCCAGGGCGCGATCCTGGAGACTCGGGATTGAGTCCCACGTCGGGCTCCTGGTGCATGGAGCCTGCTTCTCCCTCTGCCTGTGTCTCTGCCTCTCTCTCTCTCTCTGTGTGACTATCATAAATTAAAAAATAATAATAATAATCATACACTTAACAAAATTTCTTATGTATAAAATCGTTCTTAATTTCTATGCTTGAATCTACATTTCATTGTGTCACCAAAAAGCCCAACATTCTACAAAAGAATCCTGACTGCCAAGCATTCTACAGCTTAGAAAACCACAGATTGGGCACCTGGGTGGCTCAGTGGTTGAGCATCTGCCTTTGGCTCAGGGCATGATCCTGTGGTCCTGGGATCGAGTCTCACATCAGGCTCCCTGCAGGGAGCCTGCTTCTCTCTCTGCTTCTGTCTCTGCCTCTCTTTGTGTCTCTCATGAATAAATAAATAAAATCTTAAAAAAAAAAAAAAAAAAGGAAGAAAGAACCACAGATCAACTTGCTCCTTTCTGTTTAGTTTCCCAAAGTGCCTGGCATCATACGGGACCAAACAGCCACTTTCGTGAATATGTGACACATTTTTCTGCCATCTGAAAAGGATATTAGCGAACAAGACTATTTATTTATTTTTATTTTTTTTTATTTATGATAGTCACAGAGAGAGAGAGAGGCAGAGACACAGGCAGAGGGAGAAGCAGGCTCCATGCACCGGGAGCCCGACGTGGGATTCGATCCCGGGTCTCCGGGATCGCGCCCTGGGTGAAAGGCAGGCACTAAACCGCTGCGCCACCCAGGGATCCTAAGACTATTTATTTTTGGTTGCTTGTCAGAAAAAGAGAAAACTGATGGTCTGTTTTTTCTAAAGATTTTATTTATTTACATGAGAGAGGGAGAGACTACATGCATAAGTGTGGGGAGGAGTAAAGGGAGAGGGAGAGACAGAGTGCAGAGCCTGATGTGGGGCTTGATGGCACCATCCTGAGATCACGGTCTTAGCCAAAACCAAAAGTTGGATGCTTCACCAACCAAGCCACCCAGGCCCCCCAAGAAAACTGATGGTTTACATGTTACTATTTTTCATTTTTTCTTACATTTGAATTTTTTTCTATCTTTCTGCGTTTGTCATTAAAAAACTGCTCACAAGTTCTCAAAAAGTGGTGTTATTTATTAATTTAAGAGCTGAGTATTATGAAAATGAGACCACATTATTTATTAAACCTTCATGGAATTCAGTTTACATAAACTTTGGCTCCTCATCATCTTTTTACATGATGGTGGATAACACTGGCATTGTTAAAGTTGTCTTCAGAGTGCTGCAAGTTTTGTCCTAAGGGGAAGAACTTAAGGAAACCAGTCACTGGGGGACATTTGTTTAGTCAGCAAAACCTTATATTGTTGCTTTCTGGGTTATTCTTCAGCCTTGACACAATTCATATTTATGCAATTGCATAGGAGGCTTCCTGGAATTCATAATTTGCACTTTCAGTGATTCTTTGTAGGTACTCTCTCAGATCACAGCTCCTCTGCATTAAATGGTGGTTTTACCATTGACCAAGGGACAGACTGGAAGGTGGGACATTTGTGTCAGTTCACAGGGGATTTTTCTCCACACCATAGACATTGGAGATGGTTTGGAAAGCAGTTCCTCCTTAGGTGCCTGTAAAGAAACAACTACTGGGGCACCTGGGTGGCTCAGTGGTTGAGATCTGTCTTTGGCTCAGGTTGTGATCCCACATCAGGCTCACATAAATTTATAAATAAATAAATAAATAAATAAATAAATAAATAAATAAATAAATAAATAAATAAATAATTTTTAAAAGGTTTTATTTATTTATTCATGAGAGACCCCCCCCCACACACACACACACAGAGGCAGAGGGAAAAGCAGGCTCCATGCAGGGAGCCCGATGTGGGACTCGATCCCGAGTCTCCAGGATCACGCCCTGGGTTGAAGGTAGTGCTAAACCGATGAGCCACCCAGGCTGCCCCCCCCCCTTTTTTTTTTTTAAAGAAAAGAAACAGACTACTTCTATGTATGGGCTATGTGCTTGAGTCATCTGCCAGGGGAAGGGGCAGAAGCAAAAGGGAATGGACAGGAACTTAATACAGAAATATTGGAAATGTCTTCTAGAGGCACTTGGCCCCCTATCATTCTTCCTCTCTGTTACCACGTTAGTGGATTTTTTTCATTTCAGGGGCTCTCTCATCATCCAGCACCATACAATGCACATCCTATCAGACAGGGCTGGTGTTCTTATCAGATATGTGTGCAGTGGTCCTGCTGACTCCCCACACTTGTGGGACTTACAGATGATGACAGTAGGCTCACTGATATGACAAGATGTTACTTTCTGATTAGCCCTTAGATTCTGGTGTTGAGTGCTTAAGCCTCATCCAGCTTCTTATCAACCGGTATTAGGCTTTGATATGAAACTGAAGATGGGCTAATCAAAAGCTGTCAGTCCACAGTGTGCTGCCTTGATAACTTCATTTATTTTTTTAAGATTTTATTTATTTATTCATGAGACACACACACACACACACACACAGAGAGAGAGGGAGAGAGAGAGAGGCAGAGACACAGGCAGAGGGAGAAGCAGGCTCCATGCAGGGAGCCCGACGTGGGACTCGATCCTGGGTCTCCAGGATCAGGCCCTGGGCCAAAGGCGGCGCTAAACTGCCGAGCCACCAGGCTGCCCGATAACTTCATTTATATTAAAGTAACACCGCCACTTTCTTCATTTCAATCATCAAAACTTTTGGTCTGAGCTGCAAGGAGGACTTCAGTTATATAAGTATCTGTCTTCTAGAGTATTCCTGAGATGATGAACCCTCTCTTTTCAACAGAGTATAATAGCAGGTGGTACAGTTAATAGATCTAATAGCCAAAGTGGTCCATGAAAATCTTTATGTTTTCTCTGCCCCTGGTAAAATGGAATGATACTGAAACATTCTATTTTGATTCTTAAATTGGAAAAAAAAATCTAATGCATGATGAAGCATAACCCATTAGGCACTTTTGCTTGCTCTTGATTTACTTGTTAATACGAATTGATGGTGGAATTGGTTGGATATTTACAAAAGTGATTTAAAAAGCTTCGGAATCATATTTCCTAAACAGGATTTGCAAGGCTTTTAGTACTTTAAAAGGCAAAGTTGGAACCAAACTGAGCTGTCAGTTTTTTGTTTTTTCTTTTCTTTCAGGCAGACTTGAAATTGTTCATGGAATCAGACTGACCTTGGATTGCTCACATGAGCCCTGGCCGGTGCCTTCTAAAAAACAAGCACCATGCTCTTTTGCTTGCTTTCTCTAGAGATGCAGAAGAATACTGCTAAAGCCCTAAAGCCCTCTTGGCTTATCTCTTCGCAGGCCTGCTGATCGGCGCTGGCTGTGCCCTCTACCCCTTGGGCTGGGACAGTGAGGAAGTCCGGCAGACTTGTGGCTACGTCTCTGGCCAGTTTGACCTGGGTAAGTTTTTTTCATTGATGGTACTTCTTTTAGAGAAGAACCTTACCTGACCTTTCATAGAAGTGGAATGTGGAAGAGACATAAGGAAGAGAACCATACGGTGTATTGCAGCCAGTGGTCATGCGTCACCACACGCATACCTTCGTTTACCTGTTTGTTTCGTGAAGTTATTAGCAACCTATTGTTTGCCTGGGCTGAGAGGAGTAATTGTAGACACACAGATAAGAAATCGACCCTGCTCTGAACAGTTTATATTCATTGATCACTTCGTCCCAAATCATGTGTTTATTACTTATTGCACGTGCTAAAAATAATTCTGTGGAATTTACAGGCTGCATGAGGAGATAAAGCAAACAAACTCACCAAGAGCTGAGAAATCCAAAGCGATCTCACTCCAGAGTAATAATAGACAACTTTGTGGAGGGGCTGGGTCTTGAACACAGTGATACACGTGGGTTGTCGGGCAGTACACAGAAGCACCTGGCAAGTGAGAGTACCAAACAGCAAAAGCACCAGGGAGCAATCTGAAAAGTCCCTCTGGGAGACCTTGGTGATGCGGGAAGCAGGGAGAGATGTTATCGAGTAGTCAGAAGCTCACACACTGATGAAGGGAACCTCACGGACTTCAGTTTTCTGTGTACTAATCAGGAAATTTCGAATATTTTCACTTGTAGCTATAGTGTGTTCTACTCAGCAATCTAAAAAAAAAAAGGTTGCATGGTACTACATGGTTTGCATAACTCATGCTAATTGATTTATTTTTCGCTTGATTGATAAACCTACATTTATTTAAACACTTCCTTATTTCTTTCTTGTTGGGTAATTCATCTATTCCAGTTTCTGTTATTTTAAGGCACATTATAATGAGAAATTTAATGAAAGTAAGACTTTTCTTTATTGAATTATCTCATGAGGATTTTTTTTCCCTGGAATTGGTGTTACTACATCGAAGACTACTGCCAAGTGATAGCAAACACACTTTCCCCTCATATAAGGACAGACAGATTAAGTTTTTGACCTGAAGTGTATAGTGGGTTATTAACTTAAAGATTCATGTTTTCCATTGAATACTTCATTCTAAGAAGAAATGTTTGAGGGAGTTGGTCTAATGTCAGTATTATATCCCAAATCATTTCCAAGTTTGGTGTCAGAACTTCTGTGAAAAAAACTTCTGTCAGACACTGAGAAACATGGACAGATGTGGTGCTGTATCAAAGTTCTGTGAATTTGAAAACAAAGCAATTTTTGTTTGACTCTGGATGACAAACACCCTGCTTCCCCGAAAATAATACTGGTTCTTTGGGTGGAGAAGTCAGTACATTTAATACCGCTGATGTGCATTGATTTGAAGAAGACAAGAGATGTCTGACTGCCCTTCTGCCCTCCTTGCTGAGGCTAAGGCTTTCCCGTTAGTTCTCTGTGTAGTGTATGATTGCCGTAAATGCAGAGAAGGGGAAAATGCTGGCACAAAACTGAGTGTCAGCTTGGTTTTTGTTTGTTTGCTTGTTTGTTTGTTTTTCTGTTTTTTGTTTTGCTTGTTTTTGGAAAGCAAACTGTGCCCAGGGGAAATATTTTAACACGGTGTTTGGCATCTTTCTTTCTCTGGTGTTTGGGACATACTTGGCTGTTTCACACATGCCTCAACTTCACTACGATACTGTTCTTGATGATCTCTTACTATTGTGTGTTGCTATATTAATTAGAAGGTTATAATGAAACCTGTATCCTGTTTTCACAATTTTCATTATGGCATCCCAATCATTTATTGCATTGTGGATTAAAAATTTGAAATTCAAGCTTAAAAAAAAAAGAGCTTGCCTCTCCACTGGTAGTAATAATTTCTTATGTTATTGAACTCACTAAACCATTTTAACAATTTAAAGATTATGGTGTTTTCATTTTTCCTGTTTATTTTTAAGTTTCTTTTAGTTGGGTGATGAGGGGAAAAAAAAACAAAACTGACATCGTCTACAGATAAGATGAGTTCTAGGTCCTATAAAACCATCCTACATAACTGCTTGTTTTCTCTCTAAAAAATTGTTACCATTCCTCTACACTGATGAAGGCTGAACTTCAGTGAATGAATAAAGTCACAGAAAACAGGGCTAACCTGGTTGAGCCTAGGACTGGAGCTGGGAGCCCCAGCAGGCTCTTTAGGGGGAGCGCTCTCAGTAAGGATGCTCTGGGCCCCAGCTTTCATGGCATGCGTGCTGGTTACCACACACACTCTGCCTGCACCGCTTCTGAGAACAGGAGCTCATTGCTGCCACCTCTCAAAGGAGACAGTGTGGGCAGCACATTTTCCTCTCGAAGGTTGGGAAATGTTAACGTTAAAATTCACGCTCTCCTTATTGTGGGTCGTGAGTCACTTTCTTGGCGTCCCGTTACTGAAATGTTACTTTCTCTAAAACACACCCTGAAAGAAAACATCGCTTTTCTTTTTTGCATGGAAGGTTATTTTAAGGAGTGCGTTCATTCAATTACCCAGCCAGCAGGTATTCACAGGGCACTCACAGGCTGCCGGGCCCTGTGCTGTTGCTGGGGGGATGGCATCAGCAAGGCCACTGTCCTCAGGGAACTAAAGAACCAGCAAGGCAGACAGATGTGCAAGAAGCAACATCCACAGGTTGGGTGTTAGAACTGAAGAATGTCAGGCATTGCAACGGACAGTGTGGCTGCCTTGCTAATATTGTTTCGTTCTGGTTGGTCATTCTAAGCCAGAGGCCGAGAAACGTCTCTTTGAAGAGTGGGCCAGGGACTGTTTTCAGCTTTTGGAGCTATGTGGTCTCTGTTGCAACTCTTCAGTTCTGCGTTGGTAGCAGGAGAAACACTCCATGAATAAATGGGTGTGACTGAGTTCCCTAAAATTTTGTTTACAAAAACAGATGGTGGAGGACGCCCGATTTCCACCAAAGCATACCCCTGATGCTCCAGAAACAAGTTCTTTTCAGATATGCTCATTTGTTGATCCCTTCAGCCACGGGGACAGCCAGTCTGGACCTAGGGCAGAGACTAGACTGAGCAGCCACATCCAGTTATCCTGGGATGCTGTATACATGCTATGCCTTCCTCGTTGTGCCGTGTTGTGAATGGGTGGCAAACTCTCTAAATTAAACTTGGTCGTCTTACTTCTTAACACTAGCTTGGGATGAGAAGACTTAAGCCCATTTGGACCAGTGATTACTAAGGAGTTGTGTCCAGAGACTTTTGGGGAAAAGGGGAATCACATACCTAAGGGAAAGGCACCTTCTGGTGCCATGATCCCCCTCCCTCCGGCAGCTGCCTCTGATGGGTAGAATGGCAGGAGGGAGCAGCCTCCAGGGATAGGGCTGGGTAGAGCAACCAGCTGAGGCTCAGCCGCCTGGTGAAGCAGACCTTGCCTAAGAATTTTCAACCTTGCTGAGACACAGTAATTCATTTCCTTGTTGGGTAATGTTACAGGCATCTCTTCTACCAGCAGCTAAATGCAGCCTGACTGCTATTTTATTTAGTTGCTGTATCACAGTTCAAGGGGACTTGACCTCCTCTGAGGGCTTCCTAAGGAAGTATTATTTTTAGCTGAGCCTTCAAGCCTGTAAAGGGTTTAGGTAGATAAAGGGTGAGTATGGGTGTGTTTTAGGTTGCATGGTGGGCAGGAACGAGAACCAGGAAAGAGCCCAAGTAGGAGGAGGTAGGCCATACTGGAGGAGGTAGAAATACTGGCTGGGGAAGGAATGTAGGAAGGACCTCCTAGGGGAAGAATATTTAAACTGAGTCCAAACACATAAGTAGTAGTGAGGCAAGAAACAGATTTCATAGAAACTCACGTTTGTGGTTTCAATGTACTGTGGTAGGAATCTAATAGAATCTAGTTTTTAAAATGCCGTTTTCCTTAGCAAGGAGATTTGGGGAGACTTTTTTTTATGTGTGCCTTGAAAACAATTTTATAAGGCTATTGATTATTTCTCAAGCATGTTACTATTACAAAGTGCAAAGCTTTGCAGCAATTTCAAAAAAAATACTCACTTTTACAAATCCAGGATGGTTACTGTTTACCTTTGGATCATTCTTATTTATGAAGAAGCCAGGAGCATGTTTGAATACACGTATTTTCAAACCAGGGAAATGAGTACAAGCAAGCTGCATAATGAATTCCTAAATTACCCAACCAAAATTGTACAGCTTGCCTTGACAGTAGCTTTCAACCTTTAGCATTAAAATCAGAGGCAGACTTGTTTGTCTCATTTGTGTTTTAAACAAGTATGCCAGGTGATTCAGGTGCAAGGGATCAGCAGCCATACTTTGAAACAAAATTACCTAATTTATATAGAAAATGATTTTTAAAAAAATTATTTGAGTTGACATACAATGTTACATTAGTTTCAGGTGTACAAGATAGTAATTCAACATCTCTATATATAATGCTGTGCTCACCACGAGTGTAGTTACCATCTGTCACCATACAACACTGTTACAGTGTCATTGATTATAATCTCTATGCTGTGCCTTTTATTCTCACGTCTTATTCATCCCATAATTGGAAGATGTACCTCACACTCCTAACCACCCCTTTTGCCCATCCCCAAATCCCCTCCCCTCTGACAACCATCACTTTGTGCTCTGTAGACAAAGTTATTTTTTTTGTGGTTGCTGGAATTTAACATTCATTTTGTTTTATATAAATCAAGGAGCTTTAGCTTTAGGTTACAAAGATCTGATTCCAACTAGATGAAACAAAGAAGATATTTACAATCTTTTATTATAGGAAGGCCAGAGCTAAGGTGAGCTGCAGACTTGACTGATCCAGGGGCTCATAAATGTTGTCCAGGGCCCAGGTTTTTCCTGAACCAGAGACCTTCTACTTACAGATTCTTCTCCAACCCTGGCCCCACCATCGTAAGTTTGGCTCCATCTTGAGGCTAGTTTTCTTCTCATAGATGATTGCATTTGGCGCTCGTAGCTTGTTCATGTCAAATAAGAGAGGGTGTTTTCCCCTAGTCCCAGTAATGGAATAAAAGTCT